CTTCAGCTGTGGCATTCCTGAACACATTTATGGACCTCAGTCCAGAAAGGTTCTTGAATGAGAATTGTGGGACACGTTAGACCTATGAAGGGAGGGTCTGAAGATCTAAAACAAACAGAAATACACAGCAGGTCTGGCAACAACTGCGGAGAGAAAGCAGAGTTAAAGTTTTGGGTCCAGTTCCCCCCCTTTCAGAATGAGGGTCATTAGACTCGAAACATTCACTCTGTTTCTCTCTCCACAGATGCTGCCAAGCTTTCCCCAGCAATTTCCATTTTCACGTTGGATTTCCCAACATCCGCAATCCTCTGTGTGGAAATAGGCCACTTGGACCATCGAGTCCACACCAACCCTTCAAAGAGCATCCCACCTGACCCACCACCACCTCCCCCTGCTACCCTACATTTCCGATGGCTAATCCACCTGACCTGCACATCTTTGGACTGTGGGAGGAAATGGGAGGACCCAGAGAAAACCCATACAGACGCGGGAGAACATGCAAACTCCACACAGTCACCCGAGGGTGGAATTGAACCTGGGTCCCTGGCGCTGTGAGACAGCAGTGCTAACCACTGAGCCACCACGCTGTCTTTGTTTCATGTCTGAAGCTCGACTTTTGTTGTCATTTTGGATCGGGTCAGTGAGATAGGGAAGTATGAAAAAAGAATCAAGTGCAAAAGAGAATAGGGCGACAGTAACATGGTGGAACAAGGAGACCATAAGATGTTGCAGCAGAAGTAGGCCTTCAGCCCATCAAGTCTGCTGCACCATTCAATGAGATTGTGGCTGATCTGATAATCCTCAACTCCACTTACCTGCCTTTTCTACATAACGTTTGATTCCTTTACCGATTAAAAATCTATCTGCCTCAGCCTTGAATATACTTAATGACCCAACCTCAACAGCTCTCTGTAGTAAGGACTTCCACAGACGCACAACCTCCTGACTGAAGAAGCTCCTCCTCATCTCTATCCTATCTGAACAACCCCTCACACTGAGATTATGCCCTCTAGTTCTAAGCTCTCTCCCATCTTTCCATATCTACCCTGTCAAGTCCCCTGAGAACCTCATTGTTTTAAACTCTAATGATTATAGGTACGATATAGGAATATATGCAAACCATCAAAGTCGACATGTTTCTTTTGTGTTTGACTGTGCGGCGTTGCTGCCTGGTACCAGACAGTCCAGAGTCGAATACTCCTCAACTTTAACGCAGAAAGTAAACTAAACTGCTGCTAATTAAAAACCATTTGACCCACTCCCTTCGGTGGTGATTGGAGCTACCTGCAGAATAATTTCCAATGACGATAGAATACCTTACAGTAAAATGCCATCCCTACTACCTACCACGAGAGTTCACATCCGCCATCCCGACAGCAGTCTACATAACACGCTGTGCGGATGTGAAAAATACCCTAGATGAGATTTACACTGCCACAAACACTCTAGAGACAAAATTTCTCGAGGCCCTATTCATTGTGGCTGGCAACTTCAACCAAGTCAACTTAATGCAGGTGATGCCAAAATACCATCAACATCGGCAAAACTAAAGAACTGATCATCGACTTCAGAAAGAAAGGAGGAGAACACGCCCCCATCTACATCAACGGAACTTAGGTTGAAAGAGTCAAGAGCGTCAAGTTCCTCGGAGTGATGATAACCGACAACCTGTCCTGGACTTCCCACGTAAATGCGACAGTCAAGAAGGAACAACAACGTCTCTTCTTCCTCAGGCGGCTCAGGACATTAGGCATGTCCATAAGGTCCCTCACCAACTTCTACAGATGCACCATGGAAAGCATACGGTCCAGGTGCATAACGGCGTGGTATGGCAATTGCTCTGAACAGGATCGTAAGAAACTACAGAAGCTGGTGTGCACAGCCCAGACCATCACGGAAGCCAACCTTCCATCCATGGACTCTACTTACACGGCTCGCTGCTGTGGAAAGATGTTCATCATCATCAAAGACCCAGTGCATCCAGTGATAATGATCTCCTCCAACCTCTTACATCGGGCAGAAGATACGGCCTGAACACATGCACCAGCAGGTTCGGGAACAGCTTCTTTCTGGCCGTTATCAGACTGTTGAATGGACTGTAGCCTCAAATAATGTAACCTAGAATGTAACCTGTACGCCTCTATGTCTTTTTGACCTTTACATCCTTTGCTTGCTGTGATCTGCCTGTACCGCTCGTAAACAAAGTTTTTCATTGTTTTTTGGTACATGTGACAATAAATCAAATATATCAATCAATCAATATTTCAGTGACTGTTACCTCAGAATTGATGGTGGAGAGACGGGAAGAAGAATGGAAAAGATTATTCCTTTCTGCAATTTTAATGCTGTGGCAGTCCTTCCATGTGAAGCACACCTTCTGGAAGAAAATAACAATTTTAGTTTGGTCGGGACAAAGCCTTGATCTGCTGACACTCTGACGGCCGATTGATACTGGTACGGTCTTTAATCTCAACTGTGTGAGAGAATTCCTTTTGGAATATCAGTGACAGAGGAGAGAGCTGTCTTCGCTGAATGCTGAGTGTGAATAGCGGCACACGGAAGCTTTAACGTCCTGCAGTGCCTTCCCACTATGAAAAATGGCAGATACTTGAGCTCTTCGACTAATGCCACAGTTGGTATGCTGTTGCCTAGGAGACCACTGAGTTCAGTGCATAAGGAGTTGACAGAGTTAATAAGAGCAGCACACTGGACTTTATCTAAATTAGGCGGGTGGCGTGAACTTGAAACACTATCTGTCTTTGTGTTTATTTTCCAAAATTTGGAGCAAAGAAGGATGTTCTGATTTGTTTAAGTCAGTCAGATCTAAATTTCTGCAAAAGGGCTTTCTCGGTTTTCATAAGCAGGTGGGAAGACAGGGGAGGTAATGGCCTAGTGGTATTGTCACTGGACTGTTAACCCAGAGACCCGGCTAATGTTCCAGGAACCCAGGTTTGAATCCCACCATGGCAGATAGTAAAATTTGAATTCAATAAATATCTAGAATTAAGAATCTAGTGATGACCATGAATTCATTGTCGATTGTTGGAAAAACCCATCTGGTTCACTAGCACCCTTTAGGGAAGGAAACAGCCATCCTTACCTGGTCTGGCCTACATGTGACTGCAGACACACAGCAATGTGATTGACTCTTAACTGCCCTATGGGCAATTAGGGATGGGCAATAAATGCTGCTTTAGCCAGCAACACCCTCATCCCCTGAGTGAATAAAGAAAGACCGTGAACCTACCTCATTGGCTATTTTATGCAAATTCACTGCCCTTAAACATTTCATCATAACCCTCACTGAATATTGTTACAACCCAAAGCTGAAGTAATCCTCCATGATAAATTATTTCCAATATCATGCAATAATGGTGCTCACAGAATCAAAGACTCTGACTTTGTCTCTTGTCTCAGAAAATAAAACAGTTTCCTTAATTAGCTGTTGCAAATCAATGATATAGAAGAGATATGATTCATTACAATAGTTCTGTTATTTTCTCTAATCACTCCAGATAGACAGATGCTAGGGACAACAAGGTGCAGGGCTGGATGAACACAGCAGGCCAAGCAGCATCATAGGAGCAGCAGCCCAATGGTATCAATGTGAATTTCACAAGCTTCAAAATCTCCCCTCCCCCTACGGCATCCCAAAACCAGTCCAGCTCGTCCCCGCCTCCTTAACCTGTTCTTCCTCCCACCTATCCCCTCCTCCCACCTCAAGCTGCACCCCCATCTCCTACCGACTAACCTCATCCCGCCCCCTTGACCTGTCCGTCCTCCCTGGACTGACCTATCCCCTCCCTAACTCCCCACCTACACTCACCTTTACTGGCCCCATCCCCGCCTCTTCGACCTGTTTGTTTCCTCTCCACCTATCCTCTCCTCTATCCATCTTCTATCCGCCTCCCGCTCTCTCCCTATTTATTTCAGAACCCCCCTTCCCCTCCCCCTTTTCTGATGAAGGGTCTAGGCCCGAAACGTAATAGCCTTTCTGCTCCTATGATGCTGCTTGGCCTGCTGTGTTCATCCAGCCCTGCACCTTGTTGTCTCGGATTCTCCAGAATCTGCAGTTCCTACTATCTCAGACAGATGCTAGGAGTGTGTTTAGTTTCTAGCATCCTTCAAATATCAGTGCATTGATATAGGAGTTGGGAGGTCATGTTGCAGCTGTACAGGACATTGGTTAGGCCACATTTGGAATACTGCATTTAGTTCTGCCCTTCTTGCTATAGGAAAGATGTGAAACTTGAAAGGGTTCAGAAAAGATTTACAAGGATGTTGCCAGATTTGGTAAGTTTGAGCTGTAGGGACAAGCTGAATAGGCTGGGTGCTATTTTCCCTGGAACGTTGGAGGCTGAGGGGTGACCTTATAGAATTTTTTAAAGTAACGAGAGTCATAGATAGGGTAATTAGCCAAGGTCTTTTCCCCAGGGTAGCAGAGTCCAAAACTACAGGGCATAGGTTTAAGGTGAGAGGGGAGAGATTTAAAAGGGACCTAAGGGGCAACTTTTTCATGCAGAGGGTGGTGCATGTATGGAATAAGCCACCAGAGGAAGTGGTGGAGATGGGTACAATTACAATATTTAACATCTGGATGGGTATATGAATAGGAAGGGTTTAGAGGGATATGGGCCAAATGCTGGCAAATGGGTCCAGATTAATTTAGGTTATCTGGTCGGCATGTGCGAGTTGGACCGAAGGGTCTGTTTCTATAAATGTACAAAACAACTCTTTCCCAATACACTTGTGTAAAATTTATATTGAAATACCTGATCCAGACTTTGCTTTGCAAACGGATGGTACAACAGGTTGTTGTTTGGTGGTATATACTGCTTGTCTTGCTTTTAGTGCCTTGAGTTTAGGCAATATTACCGCAAAGGAGAATCCTCACTATATCCCCTACCAAACAGAAACTGTAAACTTGCTTTCTCTCAGTCTCACTGTCAGGCCTCTGGTTGTAATGGGCTGTTTCATCTTGTTTGTTTTTTTGCCTTTAGATGCATGTGTACTCACTGGGAATGACCCTGTACTGGGCAGTTGATTATCAGCTTCCTGAAACACAGGTGAGATTTGCTCAACTTGGAGAATTAATCCAAGAAAAGTGATAAATTGTTTTCAGCCCTTCGACTGTTTGGGAAAATAAACAGCTTGGATCTCGTCCAGTTACTAAATAAACCAAACTGACTCTATTGACCTTTGTATCTTTTCCTATTCAGAACTATTAAATTCGAGAGGGTTCAGAAGAGATTTACCCGGATGTTGCTGGGCATGGAAGGTTTGAGTTATAAAGAAAGGCTGGGACTTTTTTCACTAGTACTTAGGAGGTTAAGAGGTCACCTTATAAAGATTTATAAAATCATCAAAAGTATAGATAGGGTTAAAGGGAGATGTCTTTTCCCTAGGATTGGGCATTTCAAGACTAGGGGGCTTATTTTTAAGGTGAGAGGAGAAATATTTAAAAAACACACGAGAGGCAATTTTATTTTACTCAGAGAGTGGTTTGTGTGTGGAATGAACTTCCAGAGGAAGTGGTGAATATGGGTACAGTTACAACATTTTAAAGACACTTAGACAAGTGCATGAATAGGAAAGGTTTGGAAGGATATGGGCTAGGAGCAGGCAGGTGAGACTAGTTTAGTTTGGGATTATGTTTGGCATGGACTGGTTGGACTGAAGGGTCTGTCTCCATGCTGTATGACTCTATGACTCTAGGTCTCTATGACACCTGTCCATTAATGGGTGAGATTGTTTGAGGTATATTCAATTCCTTGAGAATTCTTTGACTCTTTCTATTTAATCCATTGGAGATTAGGGTTGCTAGGAAGGCCTGCATTGATTATGTCCTCCAAATTGCCCTTGAAGGTAGCTCCAAGTCTCCTCCTTGAATACAACTTGGCTTGCTAGGCCCTGTCAGAAGGCAGGTAAGAGTCAACAGGATTGCTGTGGATCTGGAGGGACATGTAGTCCAAACCTAGTAAGGTCAGTTGAGTTCCTGTCCTTAATGTACATAAGATCTGATTTTCTGACAACCTAGTTATTACATAGTGACCGTTATTAATTCATTCCAGACTTGTTTAGTTCAATTTTGACCCATCAGCTGCTGTGATGGAGTGGAATTTGAACTCTCGTACCAGGTCATTATCCCCCAGCGCCCCCAAAACAGGATCACTAGCCCAATAACTTAAACACTATCTCACCACAGCCTATAGTTTACCATTTGTATGATGGTTATCTTGTGATACAGAGAGATGCCAACAACATTGGTTGAATTCCTGCACTAACCAAGGTTATCATGAACGACTTTCCTTCTCAGCCTCTCCTCTTTCCTGAGATGTGGTGATCCTCAGGTTAAACCACCACCAGTCATCTCTCTCTCTCTTTCTAATGAGAGATGGCAACTTTACCTTTTATACTTGTTAATGACAGATCAAGAAATCTAGACACATCCAGAAGTTAATGTTGGTTGCTTTAGAAAGATAGAACGAGCAGCACAGTTCAGAACATGGCAAAACATGCATGAAGCACTTTTAAACTGTGATCGATGTTGCCATATGGAAGTTAATTTTCACACAGCAAACAATCAGAAATCTGATTTTTTTCTTAGTGTTCGTTGAATGAGAGTTGGATGTGACAAGGGGAAAAGTCTCCAGCATCCCAAATAATGCCATGGATTATTTATTCTCCCTTGAGAGGACAGATTGAGGCCGAATTTGACATCTGAAAGATAGCACCCCTGACGGATTATTTTGTAATTCTTTCACAGGATAAGGGTTTTGCTAGTGAGGTCAGCATGTCTTCCTCCTCTCAAATGGCCCTTGAGAAACTGATGGTGGCTTGGCTGCAATCCATGCAGGATATTTACACCCAGAGGGCTATTATGGAGCGAATTCCAGGATTTTGACCTAGTGACAGTGAAGGAGCAGCAACATATTCCCAAGTGAGGATGGTGTGTGATGTGCAGGGGAACTTGCAGATAGGGTGTTCCGATGCATCAAAATTCCAAAGCACTTAATAGGAGCAATTATCACACAAAACAAGATTTTGGGACAGGAGTTAGAATCATAGAATCCCTACAGCATGGAAGCAGGCCATTCGACCCATTGAGTTCACACCGACTCTCTGAGGAGCATCCCACCCTATCTCTGTAAACCTGCATTTCCCATGGCTAATTCACCTAGCCTGCACATCCCTGGATGCTACGGGGCAATTTAGTTGGCCAATCTACCTAACCTGCACATCTTTGGACTGTGGGAGGAAACCGGAGCATCCGGAGGAAACCCACGCAGACTCAGGGAGAATGTGCAAACTCCACACAGACAGTCACCAAGGGTGGAAATAAACCCGGGTCCCTAGTGCTGTAAGACAGCAGTGCTAATCACTGAGCTACCATTCTGCCCACCTACTCACTGGTAGGTGTGAAATAAAAGTCGGAAAGGGAGGAACAGAGAGTCTTTGAAGGGTGGTAGAGTAGAAAGAGGAGTGAGGTGATGGCAAGATTAGAAAACTAGGATGAAGATTTTAAGTCAAATCTTGTCAAACTGGAAGCTAATGTTAGTTAGCAAGAACTAAAGTGGAACCTGGTATATGATGGGATGTGGACAGCAGTGAGCTTCAAGAGTTTTAGGATGTGGGAGGCAGACCAGGAGTTTGTTGAAATAGGTAATAAAAGACATTCCGTGTTCAGCAACAAATGAGCGGGAGATGAAACAAAATTGGGTGATGGAACAAAGGTATTGGGAAGACATCTTATCAATGGTGGGATAGGTGGTTAGAAGCTCATTTCAATATCCGATAGGACACTGACACTGCAAAAAGTTTGGTTTTGCCTCAAACCCGAGCCAGGGAAATGGATTGAGATGTTGCAGGGGGCACGGAGTTTGTGGTATGCACTGATGAAAATAGTATTTAATTGGAGGAAAGGAGTGTTCATCCAGTACTTGATGCCAAAGAAGCAGACTGACAATTCAGAGATAGTGCAGGTGGGCTGGGTGCTGTAAACAGGAATTGGAGCGTAATGCTGTGTTTTCAAACAATGTTTTCATTGGGCTGCATGTAGATGAGAATTAGGGAAGGAGAACAGATAGATTAGACAAACAGGGAAAAGGTGCAGGCCATTTGGCCCATCAAGTCTCTTCTGCTGTACACCAGCTCCTGATTGAACATAGACCTCAACACAATTTTCCGGCACCATCCCCATATCTTTTGATGTCCTTGAAATCTATAAATTTATTGATCTCTACCTTAGACGTAATCAATGACTAAGCTTCCATCACCTTCTGAGGTAGAGAATTCCATAGATTCACCACCCTCTGAGTGAAGAAATTCCTCCTCATTTCGGGCTCTCAGTGGACTACCCCTTGTTCAGAGACTCTGTTCTTTTGTTCCAGACACCCCCGCCTCCCCAATAATCTTGTAAGGGGAAACATCCTTTCTTCTGTCTGCTGTGTTGAGCCCTGTAACAATTTTGTAAGCATCACCTCTCGTTCTTCTAAACTCTGGAGAATGAAGGCCAAGGCTCCTTAATCTCTTGCTAAGACAATCCTACCATCCCTGGAATCAGTCCAGTGAGCATACACTGCACTCTCTTAATGGCTAGTTTCCCTTCCTTAGGTTAGGAGACCCAAAACCATACACAGTGCTCCAAGTGCACTCTAACCAATTGCAGCAAGACAACTTGTGTTCCCGGGGAATTCCAGAGATAAGGATATAGCAGTGGGAAGAGAGCCATTGCTGGATGTGATTTTTTTGCTTAGATTGGATAGAGAGGAATGGAATGAGGCAATGGGGATTTCACTTAGCTGGACAATAGGGGGAGGTGTTGGAGGACGATGATGTGATTAGCCTCGGTGGACAGATTAAGAAAGACAAGGAAGGAAGGTTAATTGTTGTCATTTGTGACTTTGTAAGTGTTGTGTGAGTGGCGTGGTGTGACAGAAAGCTGATCAGAGAAATTGCTTCAAGGATCGTTTGTGGACAGCAAACATGTAAAGCTGACTTGGGCGCAAGTAATTTTTCTGTAATGAACTTGATTTAATGTTTGTATAGAATGCAGAAAGCATCATTATGAGAAAAGTGTCTTTTTGCCTGATTGAACAAATGGAATACAAATCTGCTGTGCTTTCAGTCTCGCACCTCTCAGTGTTTACCCAACTGTTCACAAAACCCATCTTCTGCTGACAAATCCAACGTACACCAGCTGTGTGAACATATTTTCACCTTTGACGTTCTGCTGTATTAATTTATTATAGCTTTCAGTTAAGAGTACTCACCTTCTCTGTCTTTTGCTCCATAATAGTTTCTGCGGTTGTACTGTTTAAACTGAAAGCGAAAACGGACTGGAACTTTTGCTCAATTAACAACTGGAGGAGAGGCAAAACGCGAGAGTGGAATTGATATTCATTAACTATAAAAATAATTAATGTAACAGTACATAACCTCCATCCACCAACTTTGCCATTCCTGACCAAAACCTAGTACTCTGTCAGCTCTTCTTTATTTTTTTGTGTCGTTACTATCTTCGAAATAGTGCTGCGAGATCTCTTGAGTCTACTTGCGAGAGCACTGACTATCTCATCCAAAAGGTATTATCTCCAGTTGAGCTGTTAATTTTTAAAAAATTTTATTCATTCACGGGATGGGGACGTCACTGGCTAGGCCAGCATTTATTACCCATCCCTAATTGCCCCGAGACAACAAGGTGCAGAGCTGGATGAACACAGCAGGCTAAGCAGCATCATAGGAGCAGGAAGGCTGACGTTTCGGGCCTAGACCCTTCATCTGCTATGGTGCCCAGTTCTGTAGCCCATCATACATGATGGCGGGGCAGGGGGAGGGGGTGGGGGGTTGTGAGGGGTAGTGTAGTGTGGGTGGTGGGAGACTGTAAAATTCCACACACAATGATTCATTAAAAATGGGGAAATGCTTTGCAGCTAAACTACATTGTCTCATCAAAAGAATCAAGGAGATTTTTATGCAATGTTTTCGAAGTGTGTAATTGTTCTCTTGTCGAGCCTAAAAGATTTAGCTAATTGCTTCTCTTTCGAGAACTGAAGATCATCATGTTAAGTGCCATCATAATCACAGCACTCTGCATGTATAATTTACTGTTTGGGAAAGGGTTCTAGTTTTTGGGATCACACTTTTTTTTCTCACTGGATCTTATTTTTCTCTGTTGTGCCCATCACAGCCAGTCCAGCTCAGTGGCCAATTGAACCAGCTCCTACTGAGCATGTGTGAGGACCTCCCACACAAGAGAGTATCCTTGGAGACCATCGTAAATACCTGTGAGACGCATCGGCAGAACTTGGGACTGCCCCCAACAAACACGTGCTTAAGGAAACTTGTTCAGCTGGTGCTTGGGACTACGGCAGAGGTCAGTGATGCAAAATCAATGCTTTCCTGTTGTTCCTTTCTTAATTATTCACGGGATGAGGGCATCACTGGCCAAGCCAGCATTTATCACCCAACCCTAATTGCCCAGAGGGCAGTTTAAGAGTCAACAACATTGCTATGGGTCTTGAGTCACACATAGGTGAGATAATGGTTTCACAGTCATCATTAATTCCAGATTTTTTGAAATTCTTGAATTCAAATTCCATCATCTGCCATGGCAGGATTTGAATTCGGGTCTCAAGGACATTACCTGGGTCTCTGGATTAAATAGTGTAGCGACAATACTGCCAGGCCATCGTCTCCCCCTAGTTCTGGCTGATTGCATCCTGCCCCAGTCCAGCGTTGAACTGCACTGAGCTCTGGGCTGTTTGGTGGCACATTATAATTCTCCTACAACATTGGTGTGGTCTGTGTTGGGTTAAATAATTAAAACTGAAATCCAGGGATTTGATTTTTCTGTATAATCTTTAACTATAGTGTGAGAATGCTTGTGGTGAAACATTGCTGACGCTGTAAAGTGTGCTCCTTGTTATTTGCTCAGTGTGTTAACAGCAGTAGCTTTGCTGAATTGTTGATATTGTGATTGGGATTCTCCCTCTGGTGCTGGCCAACAGAGGTCAGGAATATTTCCAAGTGTTGACTGTAGGCCTGGCTGGGTCACTGGATGCCTCTACCATCTAAACTCATTCACACTACCTGCAGGGACCTGGAGGTCAACTGGTGCATCCCATATGGACTCTGTTGATTGGTCAAAATAGGCCATGGATAAGTCGTGTCTGTGACCCATTGTGTGTGCATGGCTAGCCCTGCTTTATCCTTCTGTCTTCACTCCTCCCATCCCACCTCCACCAAACTGACCCATAAGTGAGAGACAGACTCCTGCCCATTTCCATTTCAGGCCCCAATGGGAGCTAAAGTTCTGACCCTTTCGGTGTGAGCCACAGACTTTACTTCTCATTGAAAGAACAGTATTTCTTTTTCAATTAACTGTCTTGCTCCCTTGCTTTGATTTCTGCCTTGGGCTTGCTAACAATTTCCAATAAAGCTCAACACAAGCAGGAACAACATCTTATTTTCTGCTTTGGCACTTTGTAGCCTCCAGGACCCAACATTTGTGGTTTAACAACTTCAAACGTTAGTGTTTTCTCTCCATTTTGATTCTCCCACCCCAATGGCCATATCTTATTTGTGTCTTGTTGACTTAACCAGTAACATTTTCTCCTTTGCATACTCACCGTTAACACCTACTTTACATCTCTGTCACTGACTTACCATTAACACCTATTTTACATTTCCGTCTCTCCTTTACCACTATTAGTACTGCCTTTGTCTTTTTCTCCAGGTATCTTCAGCATCTATTGCACTCTCTCCTCCACTCCCTCTGCCAACAGCGTAAAACCCACCATTTTCATCCCCTTTAAATTCTAAACAAGAGTCACAATGGAACAAAAACAGAAGTTGCTGGAAAAGCTCAGCAGGTCTGGCAGCATCTGTGAAGAAAAAATCAGAGTTAACGTTTTGGGTCCAGTGACCCTTCCTCAGTTCTGAGGAAGGGTCACTGGACCCGA